ATGGTGTATATTCCTTACAAATATAGATTAAAAAGCACCCAAAACCTATAATAAATGCAAAGACCAAAAAAAAAAAAGAAAAAAGAATAGAAAAAAGAAAAATCTCACACCATGACTAACATCAATAATGTAGATTTATAGGGATGCCTGAGTGGCTCAGTGGTTGAGCGTCTGCCTTTGGCCCAGGGCATGATCTTGGAGTCCCACATCGGGGTCCCTGCATGGAGCCTGCTTCTCTCTCTGCCTGTGTCTCCGCCTCTCTTTCTCTGTGTTTCTCATGAATAAATTAAAAACCAAAATCTTAAAAAAAAATAATGTAGATTTATACCTGAAACTCACCTAGCACTTTCTTGGTTGCTGTGCACATGTGCTGTGTTACTGTTCTTTTGTTGCAGTTTTACATTAGTAGACATATATAGCTCTATATTTTAAAAAATGTGAAAAAAGCTCCCTAGTTATTGTGGTTTGAGGATGTTTATAAATAATACTTCTGTCTCCTGCCCAAGACTGGAACAAGTTAGGGACGCCTGGGTGGCTCAGCAGTTGAGCATCTTCCTTCAGCTCAGGGCATGATCCTGAGATCTAGGATCAAGTTCCACATTGGGCTCCTGCAGGGAGCCTGCTTCTCCCTCTGCCTATGTCTCTGCCTTTCTGTCTCTCATAAATAAATAAAATCTTAAAAAAAAAAAAAACCAAGATTGGAACCAGTTAAGATTAGTGTGTTAACCAAGTAAGCTTTCTTATACTTCAACCCTGAATTGGATGGGCTTCTCTTAAAATAGGCACATCTAAACAGTCTTGGCTTTTTTTAGAGGGGGGAGGGGTGGAGGGCGAGGGAGAGAGAGAGAGAGAGACTCTTAAGCAGGATCCCCGCCAAGCAAGGAGCCCTATGCAGGTCTCAATCTCACAAACCTGAGATCATGACTTGAGCCAAAATCAAGAGTCAGACACTTAACTGAGCCACCCAGGGACCCAGTCTTGGCTTTTCTTGGAGTAGATGGGTAAGGTGAGGGGTGGTATAAATACTATAAAAGTTACAGTAGAGAAGAGCAGAGAATGTGTGCTTTGTGCTTCATGCATGTGGGCATACCTGGGAGATACTGAGGGAAGGGTTGAGTGAAAAAGTTCCTTCTCTGAAGCCTACCAGATATATAAGTTAGCCCTACTCTGGGAGGAGTGAGTGAGGAGGTAGGGAAGGATCAGGATTATTACATTAGTGCTCCCACGTGGAACATGAGGAGTTTTAAACAAATGATTTTCCCAATATTAACAAATGACCCACTTTAAAAATGACAAGCAATGGGGCAGCCTGTTTAGCGCCACCTGCAGCCTGGGGTGTGATCCTGGAAACCCGGGATCGAGTTCCATGTCGGACTCCCTGCATGGAGCCTGCTTCTCCTTCTGCCCATGTCTCTGCCTCTCTCTCTCTCTCTGTCTCTATTAATAAATAAATAAAATCTTAAAAAAAAAAAAGACAAGAAATTCCATGCAGAAATGGCAAGAGAAGCTTCAGAAAGAGAAATCAGCACAGAAACATTAAGTAACTTGGATGTAGCAATCACTAAAAGTTCTCTGGTGATTACTTTGTTTGCTTTAAAATACATAGTTTATTCATTTTTTTAAAAAAGATTTTATTTGTTTACTCATGAGAGACAGAGAGAGGCAGAGCCTTAGGCAGAGGGAGAAGCAGGCTCCATGCAGGGAGCCCGATGTGGGACTCTATCCTGGGTCTCCAGGACCCACGCCCTGCGCTGAAGGCAGTGCTAAACCGCTGAGCCACCCAGGCTGCCCAAGTTTATTCATTTTTAATTACACAGTAGTTCTAAAAATAAAATCAGGACAGTAAGCTTCTCTTTGTCTGATTCTAATTTTAGACCACTAACTCTCTTTTCAGAAGTATCCTATATTTTGTTTATTGTGTATCCATGTATCCTCCCAGGCCTCTGAAAATACTTCTACATGTATCTGTTACTTAAAAATATGTGATATTATTTCTATAAGAGTTTGTGTTCACATAAGTGGAATCATGCTGAGCATATCATTCCTGCTTCTCTACTATGTGCTAGGCATTCTTCTAAGTACTGGGGATATAGCAATGCACAGAATAAAGTCTCTATTCTCATGGAGCTCGCATCATCCTGCAACTTGCTTTTTACAGTTAATATCATGTTTTAAGATGTATCCATGGTGGCAAATGTAGATGTAATTCATTTCTCTCTTTTGCTGTTATTCTATTGTATGAATATACTATATATCATTTCCTTACTGATCAGACTTTCAGCTTTATACCAATTAGAATGTAGTTTACTGCAAGTAACAAGTAACAAAACATGACTCATATTGATATAAATATTAAGGACATTTATTACTTCACATTACAGAAAATCGAGAAGTTGGTTTTTTAATTTTTTAATTTTTAAATATTTATTTGAGAGAGAGAGAGGGAAAGCATGAGCAGGGGGAGGGATGGAGTGCAAGCAAATTCCCCATTGATCACAGAGCCTGATGTGGGACTTGATTCCAGGACCCTGAGATCATGACCTGAGCTGAAGTCAGACAGATAACTGACTGAGCCACGCAGGTACCCTAGAAGTCCAGAAGTTGAATGGTTTCCAGGTCTGTATGGTCAGGGCTCTCACCCTATTGTTTTCTATTTTTTCCTCTTCTAAGCTGTGTATTAGTTATCTGTTGTTATGTGACAAATTACCCCAAAACTTAAATAAACATAAGTTTTGTGGGTTAGCTGTTTAGGTATGGCTTAGCCAGGTGGTGCCTTTGACTTAAGGTCTCTTATGAGGTTGTAGTTAAACTGTCACCTTGTCGGGGTGGGGGTGGGAGTGGTAGTGGAGGTGGAATTCTATCCCATACATGGGTCTCTCCACATGACTGCCTCCTGAGATGACATTTGGAGTTTCCCAAAGTGAACAAATATAGAGGGTGAGAATGCCCAGGAAGGAAACCACAGTCTTTTTATAACCTAGTTTTGGAAATGCATCACATCACTTCTGCCTCATTATATCTTTTAAAAAGTAAGTATTGCCTACCCTCAAGAGTTTGAATCCCAGGAGATGAGATGGTTGAAGGCCATTTTGGAAGCTGCTTATCAATGGCTGGTTACAAGATGGCTGCCAACAACAATTGAATCAGCATTCTTCTCTGATGTATGCTTCAAAAGGAACTTTCTGGCCCTGCATTGAAACCTTTTATCTCTTTCCCAATTCAATTCATGTATTGAATGTTTGCTTTTGGCCCATCTCTTTGCTACTTGCTGGATCATGTCTTCAGAAAGTTCACAAGTCTTATAACAGCAATAGATACATACAGAAATAACCCCAGTATACTATGGGTGATCAAATGTCCCACCAGCTGAGGAAGCAAGCAAGAGAAATATACTGTGGTTGAGACAGCAGGGACTGGATTTGGGTCTCCTCAACTGGTATGTTCACTCTCATTCGAGAGATTAGCAAGAAGCAGGGGTTGGACATTCCTTTTCCATTGTCCCCCTTTCTGGCAATAACTACCTTGGTTTCATCCCAGATTGCCAATTCCCTATCAATTTTCTGGTCTTCTGGGGCTCCTAGGGTCATCTGGAGCTGGTGGATGAATTAGGGCAGCCAAAAGCTTTGTCTTTTGGTCAATTTCTTATCTCCATTAGCTTCCTCTGCCTTGTCCCTATTATAGACCTCAAAGGCCTCTTCCACCAAGGTGGACTGTGGAGCCTGAGGGCTGGCCTCTAACTTTTGTAATTTTCTCCTAACGTCTGGAGCAGATTGGGTAATAAAATGCATGACAAGCAATGCGTTTCCCTCTGCAGACTCCAGGTCTGTGTTAGAATAGTGGGCAGTCTTCACAGAAGACAACAAGATCTAACCAGGTGACAAATTCGACTGGCACAGTGATAATCCCACACACCTCCTCTCTCCACAGACAGGGACAGAGGGAAGAAGTACCAATAAGTTTTTGTTTTTATTTTATTTTTTTACCAAGAAGTTTTAAAGAGGGTAACAAAATAGAGAGTCTTCCAGTTGAAAGTGGGCAGTGGGCAGAGAGGAGGGAGCTGGAAGAGGAGAGGGAGAGAGAGAGAGATGGGGAGAAAGAAACCAAGCAAGGGCCAGTGAAGGGAGGCACTCTGTCCACTGCCCATTGGGGTGATCAGGCAGGCCAAAGGGGTAAGTTTTTTTTTTTTTAATTTTATTTATTCACGACAGACACACCCACACACACAGAGAGAGAGAGAGAGAGAGAGAGAGAGAGACAGAGACAGAGACACAGGTAGAGAGAGAAGCACGCTCCATGCAGGGAGTCCAATGTGGGACCCGGGATCATGCCCTGGGCCAAAGGCAGCACCAAACTGCTGGGCCACCGGGGCTGCCCAGGAGTCAGCTTTTTTTTTTTTTTAATTTAAAGATTTTATTCATTTATTCATGAGATATACAGAGATAGAGAGAGGCAGAGACACAGGCAGAGGGAGAAGCAGTCAGGAGCCCGACTCCAGGATTGCGCCCTGGGCCAAGGGTAGGTGCCAAACCGCTGAGCCACCCAGGGATCCCCGGGGAGTCAGCTTTTTTAACCCATTCCTTATGAGTCTCTATTCAGACAACTTGGAACCAGGGAATGAGAGGAGAAAGAAAAAAAAGTTTTCTGTTGGCTATCAGATTTCCAGCTATTAGATTATACTCTGTGAGGGTTATACCTCCACCACTCTTACTAGTCCCTGGTTAGTGAGTGCCTGTTTGACCAAGATCTGTGTGGTGTGAAATGAGCCTTTCCCACCTCTGCTGATTAGTCACTGACCAGAGGGAGCATGTTCTCACAGGATGAAAGCTGTAGCTTTCTTTAGCCATTCCATTAGTAAAGTATAAGAAAGAGAGTGAAGAACATGGAAAAGAAGAGGGAGGCTAACGAAGGAGGTAAGGAAATTGGGAAGTAAGGGCAAAAGGAAAAACATTACCTGAATGAGAGTACTGGGAACCCCCCTGGGATGCTGGAGGCTGACTTACCTAGCACAGTGACACTGAAGCAAAGGATTAATGGCTGACGTCAGCTACGAAGAGGTTTGCATCCAGTTGTCCATATGGGTCCCAGACACCCTTCTGGAGTCCTGGGGGAGTTGCCAAAAAAGTGTGATACTAACCAGTAAGGAGACTTAGGTGGGAAAAGGGTGACAACATATAAGCATGTAGTGGTGGGGAATTTTTTAAAAAGATTTTATTTATTTATTAGAGAGAGAGCACAAATGGGGGGAGATTTACCCTCCTTATTCCTCATCTTCTGAAACTGCTTCCTGCTGACTGGGGGCTGTTGTCCTTATCCCAACCTGGGGGTGTAAAAATCTCTTGCTGACTATTGATTTTTTTTTAAAAAAGATTTTATTTATTTATTCATGAGAGACAGAGAAAGAGAGAAACACAGACAGAGGGGGAAGCAGGCGCTTCACAGTGAGGCTGATGTGGGACTCAATCCCCAGATGTGGGATCACGCTATGAGCCGAAGGCAGAAGCTCAACCATTGTGCCACCCAGGTGTCCGACTATTCTGACTTAAAGGGATTCAGGTCTGCCACCAATGGGTTAGGCTGGACTCCCTGGGCCACCATGAACTTGACCTGAAACTCCTGGAGTCTGGAAGACATAAACTTTACTAATAAGTTAGACAGGAGCTAAAAGTAAGTAAAGTAGGATGGCCATTAATGGTCCTAGAAAAGGTAAGAACCAAGAAAGACTGGGGAGGGCACTTTAAATCATTGACCATATATTATTAACCATTAGATCTGTTCTTTGGTTGTACTGATGTAGCCAGGATGCTTGCTTATAAATATTTCTTATATTTGATTCAATATTTCCTGAGTTCTTTACATAGGTATAATAGGTTATGTTAATATGGCAGAGCCTCCTCCTTGTTTGGCCAGGATGTAATCTAAGGCTAACCTATTGTTAAGAACAACATTTGCTGGAGAAACCAGGGATTCTTAAAAGCCCTGCAATGCTTCTCTATTTGTAGACAATCCAAGGCCAAAATGAGATTTTTTTTTAAAGATTTTATTTATTTATTCATGAGAATACACAGAGAGGAGAGAGAGAGAGAGGCAGAGACACAGGCAGAGGGAGAAGCAAGCTCCATGCAGGGAGCCTGATGTGGGACTCGATCCTGGGTCTCTAGGATCACGCCCTGGGCTGTAGGTGGCGCTAAACCGCTGAGCCACTGGGGCTGCCCCAAAATGAGATTTCTTTTTTTTTTTTAATTTTTTTTTATTATTTATTTATGATAGTCATACAGAGAGAGAGAGAGAGAGGCAGAGACACAGGCAGAGGGAGAAGCAGGCTCCATGCACCGGGAGCCTGACGTGGGACTCGATCCTGGGTCTCCAGGATCGCGCCCTGGGCCAAAGGCAGGTGCCAAACCGCTGTGCCACCCAGGGAACCCCTAAAATGAGATTTCTTTAAGTCACTTCATGGTAAATTAAGCCTTCCCAAGAGTATAGCAGCTCTATAGTGGCTCCAATTCCCAGAAGGATTAGACCTATAGCATGCCCTGGGCAGTTATGCTGTAGTGGGTGTATAGTTATTATTCTGCCTGGGGTTATACCATCTATGGCACATTCTCCCTGGTGGTGGATGTTAGTAACACATGGGTAGTAGGCTGCCACCAGTTGTGGCTTATATATACCATTTGAGGGAGTTTTGGAAGTTCAGTGTGGCTGACTTCCACATTAAAAAAAAAAAAAAGAAAAGAAAACCTGGGGGTGCCAGGGTGGCACAGCAGGTATAGAGTCCAACTCTTGCTTTCAGCTCAGGTCATGACTGCATGAAATTGAGCTCTGCATCAGGCTCTGCGCTCAGTGTGGAGTCTGCTTAAGACTCTCTCCCCTGCTTTCTTTACCCCTCCCCCCAAAATAAATATTTTTAAAAAAGGTAACCTCCTGGTATACATGCTTTGGTAGGAATGCTGGAATTAAACTACTTCTAGAGTTCATTTTTGGGGAGTTCATTTGAATGATTACAGTTGGGGGATAAGAGTCCACCTGATAGAAGGGTGAAATCTTTTAATTTTGCTTTATTAGGCCTAGGTCATTGGTAAAGGGACAGAGGCCACTGGTTGTTTGGTATAGTGACATTATAGACAATAGTTTGATATTCCTGGGCCATGCATGATGTAGACTGAAGTGGCAAACAGTTAAGTTTACCATAGGAGTTATATAGATACACAGGTAAATTCCATTTTCTTTTCTTTTCTTTCTTTCTTTCTTTTTCTTTCTTTCTTTCTTTCTTTCTTTCTTTCTTTCTTTCTTTCTTTCTTTCTTTCTTTCTTTCTTTCTTTCTTTCGGATTTTATTTATTCATGAGAGGCACAGAGAGAGAGAGAGAGGCAGAGACACAGGCAGACGGAGAAGCAGGCTCCATGCAGGGAGCCCGATATGGGACTTGATCCTTGGACCCTGGGATCATGCCTTGAGCCAAAGGCAGATGCTCATCCGCTGAGCCACCCAGGCATCCCTCTTTGTTTTTAAAGCTCTTATTTATTTGAGAGACCGAGAGAAAGCACGTGTGTGCAAGTGTGTGCATGATGGGGGAGGGGCATAGGGAGAGGAAGAAGAAAGTTCCCTGCTAGCAGGGAACCCATCTTCGGACCCTGGGATCATGACCTGAGCTAAAGGCAGATGCTTAACTGACTGAGACATCCAGGTACCCCTAAGTTCCATTTTCTATTATGCAAACATTGAGGAGTTGAATAACTTAAACTGATGAGAGAAAAAGGAGAGGTTAAAAGACTGCCCACTAGGAAAAATGATTGGAACTGTGGACTAGATGGTAGATGACTATAGCAGATCCAGAAAGTCCTGTATTGGAATGAAAACAGAGCTGAAGAAATTCCTCCACCCCTTCTGAAAATCCCCTAGACCAGCCCATAAAAACCCAGCTGTAACCCCCTTCGGGGTCCAAGTCCCTGCTCCGCTGTGTCAGGTATACTTGGACCCAAGCTCGAGCTTGTTAATAAACCCTCATGTACTTGCATCAGTGTCAGCTCCTTGATGGTTTTCTCGGATTCACAATCTTGGGCACAACAGTAAGCTCTGGTTCACTTCTCCATCTAACAGTAGGAGTAGGCTAATCTGAGGTTCATGAGTCTCATGAAAAGAGACAGCAGGGACTGTACTCATATCCCTCAACCCTCACTGCAAAATCCAGTATTCCTTGGCTCTCCGTAAAAAGAAAAGCTAAATCTCTATACCTCCTGAGTAGTATATCTTGCAGGAATGTGGATACAAGATATTTATGGAAAGGAGGGACTCAAGACTGGTGAAGACTGGATCAAACCAATTTGTGCCAAGATAGTCACCAATGCTAACCTTTCACTGCCTTTTTCCCTCATTATAACACTAAGGGTGGAGATATCACGTGCTAATTAGACAGGTGAGACATGAAGAAGCATGACCCTTAAGTACTCAGGTGTCAAGAATTCTCCACCTCTACAAGCTTAAATGTCACCCTTTTCCCCACCTAAACCTCTTTAAAAGCTCTCGCAGGCCTCTCTTCAGGGAGCTAGCCTGAAAACTCTTTCTTTCCTTTGCGCTGTCTTCCTTGTGCTGAGCATAAGCCTCAATAAAGCCTTGCTTGGAACTCCTGTTTGACCTCTTGTCAATTTCTGTCATTTAGCCAGCCCAACAGCCCTTTTCAGCATCAATGTTACAGCAGGCAAAGGAAAAAATGGTTGAGTTGCATTTTAGAGGATCAGTTGGAGGTGACTTGGGAGGATTAGAAAAGGTCATCCCAGAATTAAATGTCACAGAAAATGTTAAGAATACTGTAATTAGTGCTTGCTTCTGCAGCACATCCACTAAGAACTAATGTAACTAGTTCCACTACCAAACTGTTAACGTATTTTTTATTTTATTTTAAAAATATATTTTAAAATATTTAAATATAATTTATATTTAATATTTAATAAATATTTTAAAAAGTATTTTAAAAAATTATTTACTTGAGAGGGAGAGAGAAAGGAAGCAAGAGAGTAGAGCAGGGGAGAGGGGCAGAGGGAGAGGATGAAGTAGACTCTGCATTGAGCAGGGAGCCCAAGGTTGGGCTTAGTCCCAGGACCAGGGGACTACAACCTGAGCAGAAGGTAGACTCTTAACCCTTCACTGACTGAGCCACCCAGGCACCCCAGGTTTCTTCTTTTTTTATTTTATTTTATTTTTTTGTTTTTTTTTTGTTTCTTCTTTTTTTAAAAAAGAAATCATGACAAATCTATCTGAAGTCCTGTTTATCCATTCTGACTTTTACCCCTCCCCCCTTTCCTGCCTTTATCATGGTGCATATCCATATATCCATCTACTTCATTTTCTATACTTAACATTTTCCATTATCTGTATATACTGTGATTGTGTTAAATTTACACGTCATTTCACACTGCACATATTTACTGGCATATTGCTCTTTATAACTCTTAAGAGCTATCAAATGTTGATATGTATAGGACTCCTTCATTAATTTGTCGTAACATCACAGGAACGTATCACGTTTTGTCTACTATGCTTAGTGCACATTTCCGTTGTTTACATTTTTGACAAGGAAGCAGGCTCAAACATGAATTTTTCTTCTTGTGAATACCTGTAGGAATTTCTTTTTGTATTCTTCTAGACATAAAGTTGCTGGGTTATAAAACGCACATTTAAAATTTCACCAAAAGTGGTTGTTCTAATTTTATACTGCCAACTGACATCTCCAAGAGTTTACCTTCCTCAGATTCCCTCCCTTCCCGAAAATGGCCAGTTCGTAACATTTTCCATCAGGACATAGTTTTCAAGTGGTCACACGAACAGATCATTTCAGTATAACTCTACAGGCCAGGGGAGGCTTCACATGGCAGAGGAGACTCTGAAAGGCCTCACCGCAGCGTTCTGCCGCCCTACGGTTACTCTTCAGTTCTCTACAGCTTGCTAACGTACACCGAAGGAGCACGCTGCGCTGCGCGTGCGCGGGGAGGGCCCCACACTGCGCTGGAGGAGCAAGTCCGACCCCTAGCGACCGCGCGCGCCAGCCCTCGCTCAGTGGTACGACCAGGCCGCGGCCTCCCCCCGCAGCGCGGGTTGGTTGCGTCTCGGGACGCCGGCGCACGCTCGCACACCCGCCCCGCCAGCGCGACTCCTCCCGGCGGCGCCTCCTCTTCGCGCGCCAGCCCGCCCCCCGCACCTGACGTGCTCCGGACTCTCGCGACCCGCAGGGCCCGGGAGGAGGGGCTCGGCAGTGAGGCGCCGGCCGGTCGGTGAGTACCTGCCGCCTCCGCTCACCTCCAGTCCGTCCTCTTCCCGCCTGCATTCTTTTCTCAGGGGGCCTCCTCACCCGCAGGGGCTCTGACGCGGGGTAGAGCCCTATCGGCGGCGGAGGCCGGCGTCTCCGGACGCCGGGGTGGGCCTCCGGGCCGTCGGGGTGGCTCTTCAGGATGTTGGGTGGGCGTC